CAGTGACCCTGCAGCCTACGCCACTTCCCGCAGCTTCCATTGGCCGGGAACAGCGAACTGCAGCCACTGGGAGCTCCAGGTGGCCATGCAATTGTAAAACTCTCTCACGGCCTGCCAGTGGATTACCCTGACAGGCCACATGTGGCCTGCAGGCCGCCCACTACTGCAAGTCTAGTACCTTCCAAAAGATAAAGTTGACCTGTGGAATCATCTGTTCCTTTAACTGTAAAGATTTAAATAAGCAAAATCAAGACTTTTAAGTGTGATTACCAAATACAGACAAAGAAAAGTTAGCTAATAAATTCTAAAGAGACCATGTTCTCTCTCTAATACACAGGGCCGGCTCCAGGGTTTTGGCCGCCCCAAGCAGCCAAAAAAAAAAAAAAGCCGCGATCGCGATCTGCGGCGGCAATTCGGCGGAAGGTCCTTCGCTCTGAGCGGGAGTGAGGGACTGTCCGCCAAATTGCTGCCGAATAGCTGGACCTGCCGTCCCTCTCCGGAGTGGCCGCCCCAAGCACCTGCTTGCCAAGCTGGTGCCTGGAGCCGGCCCTGCTAATACATTCAGTTTTTCCCTAAGAGATAGCCTCTTGGGCAGCACTGCAAGAGCTCCATTGCTAAACAGCTCATTAGTACTGTAATTGATAGCATCACATAAAGCAGTGCATGTACCGTGTCAAAGCAGAAGGTGAGGAAAAAATAAAAGTAGTAATTTTCTCTTCCTTTAGTTTTTTCTCTACTTGGATGTGATTTGTTAGAATGTACTTAGTAATTTGATGGGGGGGGGGGGAGGTTTCCCAGTCAAGTGGAACATTCTTAATGCATATGTAGAAGAGTGCCTGTCACTTTCTGACATCTGTTATAACTGAGAGCCATCAGCTTGGTTTGCATGTTGAAAATCAGTTTTCAATAGGGTACTGTATTTCTTTCTGCTGTTGCTGTGCTGCAAAGTAATATCTGTTGATCATCGACTGGAACTGTAGTAGGTCAACAGTGACTTCAACTGCTGATGCTAGTTCTTCTGTGACTTTGTACACCGCATATATTTATGTTGCTGTGGTTGGGTGGGTGGAAGGGAAGCCAGTGGCTTGGATTTATTAGGAGAGCTGTGTGAATAACCGACTTTTCAGTGCAGTGACTGAACTGAAAAATTGAAAAAAAAAGTTTTGGGTCAAACAAAATGTTTCATTCAACCTGTTCAACATTTGTTTGGTTTGTGTTTAGTTTTTTAAACAAAACTGAAGTAAAATGTATCACAAAAAAAAATAATGTTTAGTTTCTAAAATCTCAAAATGAAACATTTTGATTTGGGAGGCTGGTTCTGATGGAAACAATTTGGTGAATTTAACATGAATTAATGAAATATTTCAGTCACCTTGAATTTCTTTTTTTTTTTTTTTGCAAAAAAGTTTTGTCCAAGAAATTTTGCTCAGCACGATCTACTAGAGAAAGAACTGTTCTACCCCAAAGAAGGTTTAATAGCAAATAATTTAAAATAATTTAAAATATAAAAATAAAACCATCACATTTAATATAGGATATACATGTTGCATGCAAACACACTAAATACAAGGAGAAATCAAGATTTTTTCCTATAAAAGACACTTAGTTCTAAAAGATAGCGAGATTATAAAGGCCCATTTCCTATCCAGCCCCCTACACACTCTAGACACACACACCGGATTAAAGAGTTGTTGATACCTTACTGAAAATATAGGTAAAAATCCTATTTAAAAAGTATGCTATTTTGCATAGCCAATATTTTCTGTATTTCACCCCCATTCTGTTTTACTACAAAGTAAAATGTTCACAATCAAAGCAATCCTGCATCTTAATCTCCAACTGAAAATTCCAATTCTACACAGAAATAGAATATAGCTCTGGCTCTGAGACCATTGTCAAATGATGTGGACAAGAGTAGATGACTGCACTCTTAAGTAGCACTGCACACATTCATCAGTAATGCAGTTTTTCATCTTGTGTTAGTATGACAAAATGGAAAGCACTGGATTTAATCCACGTTTTTGGCAATTATGTAAAATATATGGTGGTGTATATAGGATGAAGTAATACTCAGTGGCATGCCAAACCCCTGGCCAGAGCCCTCTAACTCCAGCAATTAGATGTGCCAGACAACGATCTGGCTGCAAACTTTGCAGTGTCCTGAGGCCCCCAGGATACCCCCTGCACGGCACTCCATTCTCTGTCAGGCAGAATATGAATTTTTCTCACTCACCTTCCCTGTACTAATGAGGTGATCCTGGTCACCCCAAACCTGAGCCCATGCAGGGTGACGAGGACCACCTCCGAAACGTGTCTGCAGAGGTGATCTCCGACCTCTGAAACAATTAGAAGTGAGCCTGCAACACTTGTGAAAAGCTGCTGACCTCCTAGGTAGCCTTGCTAACCCAGTAACACTGGGACCTCCCTCCCAAGACAGCAGGACCTCCCCCGAGCCCTATGGCTAACTCCATTGCCCCACATGTTGCAGAAGAGCGTCCTGTAACCTTTGAATTGCTGCTGCAACAGCTTCTGCTGCAACAGCATGCACAACTTCAATCAACTCTTGGCCTACCTCCCCAATCCTTCATGCTTGTCGCCCTGCACTGGCAGGGTTTGTCCCCTCCTCCCCGAACACCTCTGTGATTCACATGGGGGAAGGGGATCCCCAGTATGCATCTCCCCAACTTCATCCCTTGCAGAGCACCCATAATCCATGTACCAGCTGAGATCTCGGGGCTCTAGCCCACATGTAGGAGGAGGGGAAACACCCACCCCAGCCATGCTGCCTACAGAAGCCCAGGGGGGATTCCCGCTCCTTCCTTTGCCCCCCGCTCTTCATTGAGCCCCGCATGCTGGACATGAGTCAGTGTGAACGTGCGTGCACATAATCTCACAGTCCTAGCTGTGTGAACATGACACATGAAGTTGTATTATGCAGTCTGTTAGACAGCTAACAAACCTGGTTTATATTGCTCTGTTTTCCTCCATCAGGAAGGAAACCAACTATTTTTAAATCTATGTTCCACATACAAAGCCAAATACAGTAACTCCTCACTTAAAGTCGTCCTGGTTAACATTGTTTCGTTGCTGATCAATTAGGGAACATGCTCATTTAAAGTTGTGTAATGCTCCCTTCTAACATCGTTTGGCAGCCACCTGCTTTGTCCACTGCTTGCAGGAAGAGCAGCCCGTTGCAGCTAGCTGGTGGGGGCTTGGAACCAGGGTGGACCGGCAGCCCCCTATCAGCTCCCTGCTCCCCTAAGTTCCCTGTGCAGCAGCTGCCCAGCAGGCTAGCAATTGCAGCTGTCCCTCCCCCCACTGCCATGCGCTGCTCCTGCCCTCTGCCTTGGAGCTGCTCCCCGAGACTCCTGCTTGCTGTGCGGCGGGGAGGGAAGGAAGAGTGGGGCTAATGTCAGGGTGTCCCCCTCCCTCCTGCACCACGCTTACCCCATCTTCCATAGAGCAGGGGGACACACCAGGGATCAGGACGGAGGGAGCTTGCAGCAACCGCAGTTCCAGCAAGCTGATCTAATTAACAAGACAGTGTACTTAAAGGCGAAATGCACATATCTCCCTCCATTCCTGCTGCCCTGTAGAATGAGAGAGTTAACCCTTGAGGCTCAGCCAATTGCTACTTCATCAGTCAGCGTAAGGAAAATATCCCACCCTCTGACTCCTCCACCTCAACCAAGCTTCACAATCGCTTAAAGTCGCATTTTTCAGGAACATAACTACAATATTAAGTGAGGAGTTACTGTATAATGCTCTTATAAGAGAGGACTGTTACACTTCCCAAGATACTCCCATGCTCTCTGATAGCTGCAATTCCCCACTGGATTCTTGATGCACTCCTCCTGGTTCTAAAGGTTAGATCACCCATTCTTTGAACAGAAATGGTAAACAGTCTTAGGTAAGTTTGAACAACAAATGCTGAACACAGCCCAAAGTCTGGAATAAATTTACAAATATCTGTTTGTCAAACAAGTATTACAAACATGTTCGTTAGTCAAAGGCTTGATCTTTGTAGGAAATTTAAGGGGAGAAAGATAGGCTGGATCCACTGAATACACTGTTTGCATCATATTTCAACCAGCTCTACCCACAATTCTAACTTAAAATGGAGAATAAAGAGCAGATAAACTCTTAATTAAACAGACATTCTATAAGCAGCTGGCTCACTTCATCTGGAGGTAACAGATATTGCCACTCCTACCACTACATTTTACGGAAGCACTTACATTCTCAGGGTTTCAGGGGACCACCTGGAAGAAATATACAGAGGATGTTTATCTCAGATTTATACAATTTTAAATATACAGATTAATATAAAATCAAAGCAGAAACCCACGCAAAGCAAACATTCAAATCAGGTGCTAGGATTTCAAGTAAAGTTGGTGAAACCCATTTGAGATGATAAATCCTTGCATGGGCTATTAGTGGAGAAATAATAGGAAGACAAGGGTGATAAAAACAGGTTCAACAAATTACAAACTTGCTGCCAAAAGCCATTTGAATTAGTCACATCAGCATGAAATGGGCTTGAATAAACGTACTACAGCATGTGAAACAGTAGCTTTTCCATTGATTCTAATGATACTACACAGAATTAAACTATACTGGCATTGTCAGTTTAAATCGGAGCAGTTACAATCTTGGTAATACTTCAATCTATTATTAAAAGACTAAAGAACTTCAGCTGCCCAGTGAAATCACAGCAGAATGAAGGCTTTTGTAGATTCCACCAAACTCACAGTACCGGAGCAGGGCCTAGATTGTGTGATCTCAGCCAGATAGTCCCTATGGAAAAAGCCGGGGAGTGCAACAGTTGAGGAAACCCTGCAATTTATTCCCCTGTGGACTGTCTCCTTTTCTTCCCATCAGTGAGGTGGATCTTGTCCTCCTGCAGAATGAACATGGTGTTCCACCCCAAGCACTGTGAATCCTGCAAGATATACAGGAAGCAAAAGCCATCTACACACAGGTCCTGACCCTGAGCTAGCTCCTGTGGAAGCAGCTGCCTGGTACGGTTCAGCTATTCTGGCAGAGACTTGATGCCAGCAGCCTAAAGGAGTGCCCTGCTGCATGGAGGGTGACATGTGGATATTTACTGCAGTGTCAGGCTGTATTAATTTTTTGTATGGATTCCCTCCAATGATTGTTATGGGGAAGAAGTGCATATTCTCAGCCTAACCCTCAATTTGCCACTTATAAGTGTAGTTCCCTAGAGACCCATCATTAACGATTATGAATTGTAAGAGTGAGAATGATTCTATCAGCTGGTGGTCCAGGCACTCCCCAAGAATGTGGTAGACCCTAATCCGAGTCCCTGCTCCAGAGACGACTCATTTTAAAAAGTGGAACAGCTTCAACAGGAGAGATTGAAAGAGCCCTGCCCCAGAATCTCTCATATGCCAGTGGTTAGGACACTCTCCTGCAAGGTGGGATATCCAAGTTCAAATCTTTTCTCCACATCAGGCAGAGGGGAATCGAACCTGGGTTTTCCACATCCCAAGAGAGTGACCTTACCATCAGGATAAAGGTGGCAGCTTTAGCTTTTTCTCCCCCTCCTCCTTCAGCTGTTTTTTTGCAAATCATCGAAGTCCCGCACTCTCCTTAAAAAAATTGGCAAAATTATTTGGCAAATTCATGAATAATTTTGGTGAATAAGCTACTTGCACAGAAAAAAAAATTGCCCAGCTCTTCCTAAACACCTTTGAAAATCTTGCCCTTTGGAGCATAAGTCAATGGAACTTGTGCTCCTAAATGCCAAGTTCACTTCTGAAAATGGAACTAAGGCTCCTAAGTCTTTTAAGCACTTTTGAAAATTTTATCCAGTCTATCTACATATTATTATAATTCAGAATTACACAAGCCCTTTAAGACTCAAAGAAAGATAGAGAAGGGTTCAGTGAAATGTCTTTTGCATCCAAGATGACTCTTTTCCCATTTGTTCTTTTCCAACAAGATAATTTAGTAACTTTTTTTTCTCTTTTTATAAAGAGATACTTTTTAAGTTTGAGTATTGCTATGTTATAGCTCTTTTAAAGCTCAGGATTTTCTTGCCAAAAGTAACAGTTAAAACTTTTCTAAGCAGTATTTAAGCATTTAATAGTCAATTTTTTTGTTGTAGGATTATGGTTAGCCTTTACAAAACCCTTTCAATTATTTTTCAAATGTTTGTTTATTTGTCATCAACAAAAAGTAAGGTAAACCAATGGTATTTTCCTAATTCTGAAACCTACTGTAAGAATTCCTAGTGTAGATACAGTAGCTACTAGTGGTTTAATACTTGGTCAGTTGTAAACATCAAGATGTTCAATTTTGCAACAATAAAAATGTGGTACTTATTGTTTGAGAATTCCCAAGAGTAGAAAGAAAGAGAAAATATTCTCTCCCTTTTTGCCTATTCATTCCAAGTCAACCTACTGACAGTAGAGTATCCCAACTGCTCAAGACAGGTAGAGAGGAACTCATAGAAACAGGTTTTCAACATGAAAAAAAGTCTGTGTCTTCATCCTTAATCTAGCAAAATTGAATGTCAGAAAATTGTTACACAACTGACATGGCCCATCCAGTAACTTGAGACAAAAGGCTCGATTCTGAGATCGCACCAATGTAAATCAGGAGTAGTATCACGCATGACAATGGAGTTACACTGGTGTGAGCAAGGTCAAAAGCAGGCACAATGTTTTCAGTGAGCCAACAAGCTGGGTTAGGACACTGGCCTGCTGAGCCATTAGCTCCCAACCCTGTAGTGTTGGGATTGTTAGGGGGGAAGCAATGTCTATTCACATCTTACAAGTCAACGTGCAATTTATAAGTGCAGGTTCCCTAGAGTACTGAAAACAATCTCAAAGACCATTCAAAGAAATATGTCTGCACCACCAATGTGTCTGCTAGTCCCTAACAAAGCAGCATTAGTGAGAAAACCACTATGCATTCCAGCCCATAATTTACAACCATCCCATAATTATGGACATGTGCATCTTTTGAATAGCCAAACATTCTCAGGAGCAGTAAACAGTGTTTTCTTCTGCCGTGCTTGCTCACAGCACACACATAATTAGTGTCAACTGCAGATTCAAAATTTATTAATCTTTCCTTACAAACTTCTTTTTTAACTGTAGGGATCAATTTAAGTTACTTGATAAGACAAAAATGAAAGCCATTGTTTCTTACTGTCATGTAATAATGCCACACTGGAATACTGCAATCTGTATTGATTTTATTTAACTACCAATTCTAAAGGAGCTCTGCTTTTTCTTTGCACCTTTTGATTAAATAAGGGAACTGTCAGGTTATATGAGTGAGAGTATTTGGAGCGGTGTAACAAAAACACTAGTTTTCTCGCATTGTTTGGGTACTACAGTCGGAGTAAAAAAAAAAAAAGAAAGGGCCAAGTAAATGTTAAGTGTTCCATTAAAAATGGTTTACTATTATTATTATTGGGCTAAGTGTTCCATTCAGCAGCAAGATGAACAAAATATGGAATTTGAAAGTTAAATTATAATCATTCAGGTGTTTTGAATAATTCACCTATTTAGGTGTAAAGTGAGGCTGAAGAGACCTGCTATATGGACTGATCCTGCTAATCCTACTCGAGACCACAAATATAATGAGATTATTTAAGTAGGCCAGGAATGAATAATGCTTTTCTGTGTGGTGATGCATTTCATGAATTAAAAAAAAGAGCTTGGCTGACTTGAAACTTTTTCAAGTAATATTCTTAACATTTTCACCCAAACTCTTTATTCCATTGCTGGCCAAAGTGCTGCTGAAGCCACCCATATCAATCATGCTGGAACCTGTAATCTACATTCCAGTCACAACAGACACCATTTTATGCAAAATATAAGCAGCCCTCTAATGCCTGCCAAGTTGCCAAGCTGTTCCTTAAATGCAGTTTAAATGTACTTTTTCTAGACTGGCCAGTACTCTGCTACCTGGACGCCTTGGCTAGAAGTGTGTGGTACAGCCCAGCGTCACTCAGATGCAGCTCTATAAAAAGATATTTCTGTCACTGCTCAAAACTCATTGCAAACATGAGCATGATGCAGCCAAATGTTACATGGTTTGATTGAGCTAAGCTTAGAATCCAACAGAGCTGTTCTGCCTGCTGCTCACTAACTTCCACAGAACCAACAGCAGGAGGTGTCAATATTGACATACAAAAGAGCTTTTTCCCCCACCAATCAAAGATTCTTTCATTCTGCCTACTCTTGAAACTCATCAAGTGAGCACTTTCTTTCAAGATTTGGTTGTTCTCTACACTCAGACTACTATATCAACCACAGCCACAATCTGACAGTGCATTTGAGCCATTTAGTCAGATACTAAAGACTACCGGATTCAATCCATGAGCTCTAGAAGTAAGACTCTTCTCAAGGAATTAATTAAGCATCCATGAAAATCTGTTTCCACTCACCTCCCCTACAAAGCCATGCCTGCCTGGATTTACTACATCCCAAGGGCTTGATTTTAAGAATTTGTGACTGCATGCACAAGCATGGTAATCATTCATGTAAATGCTGAGTTAGATACCTAGCTGATCATATGTGCACACAAATCATAGAATCATATGACTGGAAGGGACCTCGAGAGATCATCTAGTCCAGTCCCTGCAGGCATACTTTGGGATGCAAATGTTAAGAGCCTGGGCATAATAGGTTTTGTCCAAAATTCTGCATTAGTATAAATACAGTGATAACACCACAAGGGTTGTGAGACACACTAGAATCCAACAAAAGTGGGAAGATTTATTCTTCCCACAATGGTGAGGTTATAGGGTAGTTGGCTCTGCAAACAGATGAGACACAAGGTGAACTCACAATGAGAAATTCTCCTCCCCTAAATGAAAAACATTCTACAACAGCGTATTTTGAAAAATGACCTGAAGTTTTTAAGGACAGCTTTGCTTATAATAGATGTTGATTACAATGGGCCTAAGGCAGGAGTGGGCAAACTACGGCCCGTGGGCCAGATCCGACCCGTCAGGGCTTTGGATCCGGCCTACGGGATTGCCACCCCTGTGGCGCCGCGGGGCTAAGGCAGGCTCCCTGCCTGCCCTGGCCCTAGCCCCACACCACTCCCGGAAGCAGCTGGCACCACGTCCCTGCAGTCCCTGCAGGAGCGGGGGGCAGAGGGCTCCATGCGCTGCCCTCACCTGCAGGCACTGCCCCCCACAGCTCCCATTAGCTGGGAATGGGGAACCGCAGCCAATGGGAGCTTCGGGGGAGGTACCTGCAGGCAAGGGCAGCACGCAGAGCCCTCTGCCCCTCCTCCCCCAGGGGCTGCAGGGACATGGTGCCGGTCACTTCCAGGAGCGGCGCAGGCCAGGGCAGGCAGGGAACCTGCCTAAGCGCCACTGCGCGCCGCTGCCACCCTGGAGACGCTCAAGGTAAGTAGCATCAGGCTGGAGCCCGCACCCTGCACCACTCCTGCACCCCCTGCCCTGAGCCCCCTGCCACACCACTCCTGCACCCCAACTCCCTGCCCTGAGCCCCCTGCCGCACCCCTTCTGTATCCTAACCCTCCCTGAGCCCCCTGCCGCACCCCTCCTGCACCCCAACCCTCTGCCGAGCCCCCTGCCGCACACCACACCCCTCCTACACCCCAACCCTCTGCCCTGAGCCCCCTGCCACACACTGCACCCCAACTCCCTGCCTTGAGCCCCCTCGTACACCCCACATCCCTCCTGCATCCCAACCCCCTGCCCTGAGCCCCCTCGTACACCGCACATCCCTCCTGCATCCCAACCCCTTGCCCTGAGCCCCTTCCTGCACACCACACCCCCTCCCACACCCTACACTCCCTCCCGCACCCCAACCCCCTGCCCCAGCCCTACATTCATGGCCCTGCAGGCAATTTCCCCACCCAGATGTGGCCCTGGGGCCAACAAGTTTGCCCACCCCTGGCCTAAGGTGTGCTTCTGGCCTTGTTATTCTATACAAATCAGAGAAACTAAGCAAGATATGTTCTCCCCTCTAACACCCACTTCCTTTGCCTTCAATGTGTGTGTGCGCACACGTCTTT